ACAGCACACAACTCCAAACAAAATGACTCCACTGTACCGCTATTTGTTAAGACGTGGTTTTAGTAGTAAAAACCCATTCAAAGGATCAAATATATGAACAAGAAGAAGTATCATGGATATTTTCCAACTTAAAACCACGCAAAAGGCCGATGTTTCATCCAACTCAGTCTACAAACACATGAAAGCGCTTGGCAGCCTAAAGTTGATGACCACTGACCACTGTGACGTCACCAAAACTTATTTCTGCGGTGTCGGTCTAAACGCTTTGTTACTACGTTTTTCTAAGTCGCCCGAGGTTTGGTTGTATTTTGGCAAACGTTCGATTACGTAACGAATATTTATACAGGGTACCCCAGTTCAGCTATAAATAGATGGTTTAGACACCCACACAGTAATCTCGGGCGTGGGAAATTAAAGTCTCCTACCCCTAGCCCTGCAGGAGACGGAGCCTACGGTTTATTCGTCCTTATCCGAGAAGACTAGAATATCTATCCATTTCTTGATACTATAGAAAGGTAGCAAATTCTCCTCAGTTATTTTAAGACCACGAGTGTTGGTCCGGCCGGGGCTCGAACCTTCGACCTCCGGCACAACACGATCCGGCGCTCTAACCGGGGAGCGGTTAAAAAAATAACGTTCACTTCATATTTCCCCATGTAATTTATTTTGAAACAAATATTGGTTGGGGGTTCAGATTTCTTAAATCATTGGGAGCTTGCACTCCTTATGGTTCAATAAAACTCTTGAACGGCACTTTCTCGTCCGCCTTGTGCAGACTAACCTTCTAACACCACCTAGCCCACCTCCCCCCTCCTTATCCAACATCTCCCCCTCCCGAAACACACACACACACACGCACGCACACACGCACATACGCACGCGCACGCACGCACACACACACGCACACACACAGGCAAGATCTCCCACGGCCACTTTTCCCTTCAAATGTTTCAGTTCCCACCCTTTCGAATTAAAGAGAAAAGCGCAGTTGCCCAAACTTCCTCCGCCCGTCCCTTCCCGTTTTAAACCCGAGTCAAGTTTAGGATTTTGTTTCCCCTAACAAGATGCTGAAAAGAAAACTGCTAATAGTAAATAATAAGAAATTCTACTTCATGAAATGTCAATCTCTGTCCCTCTTCCGGCGGAAGTAAAGGCTTGTTATTTACAGTGACGTGCTCCCGTTTCCAAAAATGCGTAAGTTACTATATATGAGAAGAGGAGTAGCATGGTGCCGCATCCCTGGACGCGGCGTTAATTCGGAGAAAATTCTTCTTCATCTCTCAGGTGACGTGTAACTGACTACTACTCTAACCTGCCACAAACTGCCTGCCATGCAGGCTATCCTCGGTTAAGTTGCTCCTTCCAGGCAAAGTTGCTGCGACCTGTTAATTGCTGCCGAAAATTTGTCATATACGTAAAAAAGTTCCGAGAGAGCATGTCAACACACCTTTCAAGAAGCCCTGGTTCGTGATACGCCCCCTTTCAATGATATTGATAAATTCAACTGCGTATTATAGCCTCAGTAAGATTCGTTGTGGAGTAACAACGTCTACATACATACATACATATACTTTATTTAATCTCGAATTTGGAGTAGCTAAAGGATAAGCTAGTATCTTCGAGTTACAAGTATAATTCTAAATACTACTAAAATGTAAAATGTAAAATTGTAACATTCTAAAATTTAACTATGAGAAAGAGTCATACTGTAAAATCTTGCGCTTGAAATCAGAAAAGTCAGACGTTCTAAAAGAGTCCGGAAGAGAGTTCCATAGTTTTGAAGCCATATATGAAAAGGAGTGAAGACCATAAGTAGTAGTTTTTGTAGACGGTAGAGACAAAATATAATTTCCGCGTAGATTATAGGATACAGACCGGAAACTAAACATATTCTTTAGATAGCCTGGATAGCAGTTAAAAAACAAGCTCTTGTACAATATAATTAAGAAAGTCTGAAGGCGTCTTTTATACAGAGATTTGGAGTTAACTTTGCTAAGTAGAGAGTCATAGGGAGAATTATAATCCTGCAAGATAACTCTAAGAATTCGCTTGTTTAAAGTATCTATCTTCTCAGTACTACGCGCACCACAAAAGTGCCATACAGACGAACAATAGTTAAAATGTGGCATAATAAAAGCCTTATACAATCTTAGTAGAGTATCTTTAGAGATAAGTTTACGAAATCTTAGCATTACATTGAACTGGCCATTTATCTTCTTACAAATAGTTGATATATAATTATCAAAACGCAACCTATTGTCAATATTTATTCCAAATATATCCAAAGAATCTTTTAATGGAAAAGAGAAGGAGTGGCCTGTTTTTCCCAAGACTATAGCCTGGTGTTTTGTCTCATTTACAATCATTCCATTGCTGCGATACCACTTATTTGCAACTCTCACTTCCCGACAAATACAGTTCTCTAGAGCTACTGGGTCGACATCAGAAGAGTATAACTGATGATCGTCCGCATATGCGTGAAATTTACCTTGCGTAACCGAGTAAAACAAGTCGTTGATGAATAT